AACTGTTAACTATCTCAATCTCTTCACCATCCATACTGATACTGCCAATTGACTCAGGATTTAAAAAAAAAAAACCAAACAAAAAAACCCCATAAAAACCAACCAAACATGTAGCTGTTTGGGCAGCAACATTGAATATTGTTTCTTTTCTAACTGGTAAATGTCATACAATATTAGAGTACATAATTTGGTTTCACTCGTACATACTCTTAAGTCTTCAACACAAGGATAACATCATGATTCAAAAAAGTTAAATGTAAATAAATTCAGTGACTATACATCATTTTATTTTTTGTAATAAAATTTTTACTTTTGTGATTTTAATGAAAGTTTACAGAAAAGTAGATTTTCATTCATTCATTGTTGCACCTTTTCCTCCCTCTCACCCCTGAGAGTCATTTTAAGTCCAAATATAGTTTGATTTAATAATGTGGGAGAGTCTAGAGAGCCTTATGCTGAGTGAACTTAGTCTCATAAGGCCAAATACTGTATAAGACCATTATTGTAAAAATAGAAGGATAACTAGTAAAATGTATGTAAGTGTCCAAAAGGGAAGGAAAAATGGGTAAGGGGCAGTAATAGGGAAAAGAGGGAAATCACTAGGTAGTATTTGATTATATAAAAGACAATGTGTATGAATGATGATCTAAAACAATGTACATGAATATAACACAGTGTATACAAATTATTGTAAACAAACCAAGTAAAAATATAAGAAAAAATAAACCGCCATTGAGCATCACACACATACAAAACAACAATCTCATAAAGCTACCTTTATTTCCTCCTGTTAACACTTGAGTAAACCTGGTGGCCCAGAGGTTAAAGTGCTCAGATTTTACCTGAAAAGTGAGCCTCTCAAACTCACTAGCCTCTAAATGGGAGAAGGATATGGTGTCTACTTCTGTGATTTGAAATTTTCCCCAGAAATTTCCCAGGTGGCCTACACTGGGAAATAGTAGCTTACTGACATGACTGAATAATTTTGCTAGAGGCTTTGATTATGTACTGTTGACTGAAAACCGACCCATAAGTGACTTTGTAATGGGTAAATCACATGAAAGGAGATTGTGCATCTTTCTCCTTTGGAGTAGCCAGTGGATTTGAACCATGTACTTTGATTTGGCAGCACAGCTCAGCCACCAGAGCTTCCTCAGACTATGGTATGGCTTACAAATTTGGGTAAAAATTTCCCAGCATAACAGTTAGAGTAATGTTTACAAAAGTATGTGTTCTTTATAAAAATACTTGAAAATTTTAGAAAATTGTAAAGAACAAAATAAAACCAACTCAAATTCGCCATCTAAAATCTGTTTTAAATTAATTACATTTTGTTAAATTTATCCCTTTCCCCCTCAGTTTTCTTTCTTCCAACAAGATTGGAACCATCTTGTCTAATTGTTTTACCTTCAGTGACTGCTAGCAAGCTTTTTTTTTTTAAAGATCTACACAAAGAACTAGTGGGGGCGCTGAAACTTGTTTAGCATTACAGCAGCATGAAAACATCACTGATAGGAGTTTGGTGGCTGATCATGGTCTACATAGACAACTGTTGTCTTTAGAAAGAATGTAATGTCTGTAAATTCAAGGGCAGTTTGATTTTGTTGTTTTACTCTCAAGTGTTATTGAGTTCTATTGGTAGTGATAATTTATCACCACCTACAGGTTTATTAATAAGGTATTTCTTACGGTGATCTTAGATATGGGATTCTCAGGATTAATTATATGTTGCAGATACCTTAGAAATTTCTAGGAGAGGTACCTCAGCTTTGTTCGTTTATTAGAAATCTCTGGGTATTTTTTTAACGGGCAGCACACAAGTTTAGAAGTTCTGCATCAGAAAAGGATGTCAGAACACTTTAACCGTGGATGATGGTGAAGATGGTGTTTATTCGGCTCATGTTTCTGTCCTCCTTGTATTTTCAACTGCCTTTAACAAAAGGATTGAAATAGCAAACACTATTGAAATAGAAATACTTAATTCCTTTGCAAACCTGAGCTAACTTTTTTAACATTAAAATTCTAAAAGCATCAAGATTATGTAACATTTTCAAATTTGCAAAGATGAATAAATTAAAATTTGTCAAGACTTATTTGTAGACTGATGCTGGAATTTCTAGTTGCATCTTTTTTCATTGAGTCAACTTCCTTTAGCAAAGCCAGAGTATCTTTTGTCTTAGAAAAGTTTATTGTATATGAAGGTAGAGAATTTTGAGGGTTTTCCCATATCTAAATTCTCATTAAGTAAAATTATTTCTTTGCTCCTTGTTTATTTTTGTTATTTTCCCCTTTATTGACTCATTACTTGAGCACTTCGTAACCTAAATTTATTGCCGTGTCTTACTATTCTGTTGACAACATTGCCTTCCCCCCACTTTCATTTCTTCTCCTCCATGGAGTCTGAGATAGTATTTACCCCAGAGCTTTTAGTTGTATGACTAATTGAAGAATTTCACTCTTGGGCTGGAATTACAAGTCTTCCTCGGTTAGGGCCCTGGAAGTGTTGCCTGTCTGGATGGAAGTAATTACTGGGCTGTGAGACAATAGCTTGGCTATTTTAATGAATTTAAAGATAATAAATTTAAATAATAAATCACCTTATCTTAAGTGATATAAACATAATAATTGCTTTTAACTCTAAAGTTAATGAGGGAAATGCATTGCAATGTATTTTTCAAGACCTTGGATGCTCTTTTAGTCTATTGTCTTTTTTACCACTGAATTAGGGAGCTTTGGTGGTGTAGTTCACTGGGAGTTTTGCTGCTAACAGAAAGGCTGTGATTCTCTGGTAGATTGAATATCCTTATAAGAAAAAAGGGCAAGTTCCTCATCTTTGATTTGTTATTGTTGTTATGTGCTTTCAGGTCACAATGGAATCCAGTGGGTTTTCAGAGGTTGTAAATTTCACAGGAAGATAATGCCTATCTTCTGTGGAGCAGCTGATGGATTCCAACTGCCTGCCTTTGGATTGGCAGTGCAACTGTTTACCAGTAAATCGCTAGAGCTTTTAAACCTCAGGGAGGGGCTGCTATGAGTTGGTAAACTCAGCTGCAATGAGTTTGAATGAGACTACTAAATTATTTCTGTAGACAAAAAAAGATTCTCCTTAGGAGTTTAGGAGATTGCATTGGAAAAGTCAGTCAGGGATCTCTCCATATTATTGAGGAGCAGTGATACTAGTTTGAAGACTAAGGTACACCTGATTCAGGCCATGATCTTTTCAGACCCGAGAGCTGGACAGTTAATGAGGATGATAAAAGAAGAACTTATGGCTGTCCCATGGACTGCAGGACAAACAGATATGTCTTGAGAAGATGCGGCCAGAGTACTGTTTGGATCAAAGATAGGAGAGTCTGTTCCTTGGAGAGGGACATCATGCTTGGGAAGGTGGAGGGACAGTGAAATAGAGAAAGATCTTCAAGCAGGTGGATTGACACAATGGACTCAAGTGTGTCAGATTGTAAGGATGGTACAGCATAGGACAAGATTCAAATCTGTTGTTCATAGGGTTGCTTTGATATGAGTTATATTTGACTAGATGACACCTAACAACAACAATACTGAAAATCTGGGGCTGTCAGTTGTTCTTTTTTTTAAAAGTAATTTTTTTTAAAAAAAATCTCTATTATGTACTGTTGATTTTGCCCCTCCTTCTCCAGCAGAGCATCTGATGGATTCGAACCACATAACTTTAGAATTGCAGTGGAGCTTCTTGCCATTAGGATACCAGAGCTACATTTCAATTGGTGTTCTTAAATTCTTGAAGTTTAAAATGACAATTCAATTCACTTTCTTCAGCTTTATTGATGAATAGTTTGACTAGATATCTCAGATACACACAAAGTTAGGATATATCTCCATTCAATTTAATAACACCTTTAAGGAGTTTTAAAAAAGTTAAATGGCTATCTTAATTGTAAAAAATCTTTAATTCTGAAAGTAAAACTGCAATTTCTGAAACCCGTCTAGGGACATCCTAGAAGGGCCAACCGTCTAGGGACATGTGGGCCATAGGTTGAATCTGTTCCTTTATTGCCCCCTACTGGTTGATAGAGACCATGGCTGACATCAACTATTAAGGGCTGTGGAGTTGAATAGGAGGACTCAGCAGCAGCCTTATCCAGAGCAATTCATCTCATGATCTCCTTAGTGCTGTTACCAAGTGTGTTGATTGTGGATCCAAATAAGATGAAATCATTGACAATTTCAATCTTTTTCTCCGTCTATCATGATGTTGTTTATCGGTCCATTGGTGAGGATTTTTATCTTCTTGATGCTGAGATGCAATTCATATTGAAGGCTGTAGTCTTTGATCTTCTGCAGCAAGCATTCACGTCTTCCTCCCTTTAAGCAGCAAGGTTGTGTCGTCTGCATAATGCAGGTTGTTGATGAGTCCTTCTATCCTTATGCCACATTTTTCATAGAGTAAACATATCAATTGATTTGGTCAGCCTGCAGATTGAATAGGTATCGAGAAGGGCTACAACCCTAATGTACACTTTTATTTATTTTCAACTGTGCAGTGTTCCCTTTCTCTGTTCGGACAACAGCTTCTCTGACTAGATATAGTTTTTATATGGACATTATTAAGTGTACTGAGATTTACCACTCTTCTAAATGTTAGTCATAGTTTGTTGTGATCCACACAGTCAAATGCCTTTGCATAGTCAATGAAACACAAATAGACATTGTTCTGGTACTATGCTGAAGGGAAGAATCGGACTGGCATTTCTAAAGTTGAAAGAAAGAAAAACAGATTCAAGCAATGAGTTGCAATACTTACAGAATCTGGACATTATCAAACTATATCATTAATATCACATACAAGGAAAATATTGCTGAAAATTATCCAGGAATGACTGAAATGGTATATTGAGAGAGAACTTTCTGAAGTTCAAGCTCAGTTTAAAAGAGCCCATGGTTCCAGGGATGTCTCCTTGCTGATGTCAGATGAATCATGGCTGGAAGCAGAGAATACCAGAGATCAAAAGAGGGAATTTAATTTTTTGTAGAAGCTCTATGATTGACTTCTGGGATGTATGTATAATATTCACCATATTAGCATGTGTTACTTGTTGTGAAACCAGACCACTATCCCATTTTTAAATATTGTATGGTTCTACCTCTATGTAATATCTAGAATAAGCAAATGTATTGAGACCAAAGTTTATTAGTGATGACCAGGAGGGAAAGGAAGAGAACATCCTTGCTTAGGGACTCTGAACTTCAGTTAAGAGGGATGGAAAAAAATTGAAACAGAAATTATATCTTTTTTACTTTTATGGGTATTTTTGTTTCCTTATCTAGGGCTGATAGACTATAATTTCCATTGTTTCCGGAAGGCCATCCATGAAGTCTTTGAAGTGAGAATGAAAGTTGTGAAATCTCGAAAGGTTCAGAGCCGGCTACAGAAGAAAAAAGGAGCCACCCCTAATGGGACCCCCAGAGTGCTGCTGTAGGTGCAGTTTCAGGATCGTCTTTTGAAATCAGACCTTGTATGA